CATAATTAATTGTTATTATAATAGTAAGTACATGTAACATGTGTAACAAGGACACCTTAAAATAAAGTGTTACCCAAAGAATTGAATGGGTGGTACATCTCTAAATTCATAATTTTACTGTTGTAACATCAGAAAAAAGCATTGTAAGGGTGTTTTAAATTATTGTTCAAATTTTCTTTCAGTCTACAGTGACAAAGAGTTTTACTTTTAATAGTTTTATTTAATAAATCACCAGTTATTGAAATATGCACTCTTTGATTGACAGGTGTATACTGACTGAAGAGCAGCGCAGGATGTTCGAGAAGCTCTCCGTGTACTGCGATCGTACGTGCAACTGATTCCCGTGTCATTCATACTGGGTAAACCTGATTTACAGTAGTGCTTTTTTTGGGATTAAAACAATCAATTCTCAACTTCTCTCTCTTCCTGCAGGTTTCTACGTGACTCTTGTGGTGACTCGTTGGTGGGGTCAGTTCGAGAGCATCCCGTGGCCGGATCGCCTGTCAGCGCTGGTTAGCGGACACGTCCGGGGCGCAGATGAAGGGGCCAGACTCGTCCGCAGGAGTCTAATGTGTTACGCCAACCTGTCAGGCATCCTGATCTACCGCTTGGTCAGCACCGCCGTCTACAAGAGGTTCCCGACCATGAGCCACCTGGTTCAAGCAGGTAAACTGGGATTCAGGCCAAGAAATGTGGCCTAGAACAGCGATTAAAGCCATGTTTTGTGCCGGTACCCTTCAGTATCTGGGATTTAACCTCAAAGGGGAAACAGGAAGGAATTACGGCCAGATCCCTAAGAGCTTTGGCTGTATATAGCTCACACAAACGTAAATTCTGTCATAATTTACTCAACCTCAAGTCAAGTCACTTTTATTTATACAGTGCTGGACTGTTTTATTCTATACAGTAAAAGTGAATGGGGCTGCAAAAATGACAAAAACCCTGTAAAAGTGCTTTGTACTTTTGTAGGGGGGCATTGTAATTGTACCAAATCCTTGTTAATGTACTACATAAAGTCTGTAAGATTGTACCTTTTACATCCTAGTCTAGTTTTAATATTAGAAACAGTAGGCTACTAATAGTATTAGTTATGTATTTTTTAAGCTATGCCTCTGGATAATTAATTTTTAGAATAGAGATCACCGTTCTCCCACGATTCTGAAAACAAAACATTAGATAACCAAACAAAATAATTTGTAGGATAATTTACTTGAGTTTCTGAAAAAATGCTTATTTAATGTTATAAATTAGTCTATTTGAAAATATTTATTAATTTAAATGAATTCATTATGTAAAAAATCATTTGAAATGAATATATAACTTGTTTCGTCCGGAGTTTTTGAACGTAGGCCTATCTCTTGAATGAATGATTCAGACATCAAATACATTTTAACAGTCACTGGTCACCACCTACTGGCATAATGTAACATATACAATCTTTCTGGATCAGCGGCTGCACGAAAGCAGGTTTAAATATTCGGATGTGATTGTGATTTCAAAGGCTTAATAGACATAGCGGAATCATCGTCATTTACACTGAACAAAATTATAAACGCAACACTTTTGTTTTTGCCCCCATTTTTCATGAGCTGAACTCAAAGATCTAAGACTTTTTCTATGTACACAAAAGGCCTATTTCTCTCAAATATTGTTCACAAATCTGTCTAAATCTGTGTTAGTGAGCACTTCTCCTTTGCCGAGATAATCCATCCACCTCACAGGTGTGGCATATCAAGATGCTGATTAGACAGCATGATTATTGCACAGGTGTGCCTTAGGCTGGCCACAATAAAAGGCCACTCTAACAGATTTAGACAGATTTGTGAACAATATTTGAGAGAAATAGGTCTTTTGTGTACATAGAAAAAGTCTTAGATCTTTGAGTTCAGCTCATGAAAAATGGGGGCAAAAACAAAAGCGTTGCGTTTATAATTTTGTTCAGTGTAGAAATAAGATTGTGTTTATTTGAATCGAGATCACGATCTTTTAATGATTAATCGTGCATACAAATGAGCCTGTTGCCTATGTATTTTTGTATGTCATATTTGTACCAGACCTCAAAGGTAACCTGGGCCCCCCCCCCGTGATTTTTGGAGCTTGACAGCCCCTGATCACTGTATGATTTCATGCAAAAGAGCAAAGTCAACATTCTTCAATTTGGGAGAAAGTCATATGGGTTGAAAACTCTCCTGTACTGTAGGTCTGATGACGGCTGAGGAACTGAGGCAGTTAGAGGAACTGCCCTCCCCTCATAATAAGTTCTGGGTTCCCTGCATGTGGTTTGTCAGTCTGGCCATGAGAGCTCGATCTGAAGGACGCATCAATAATCACGTCGCAATGACCGCCATCCTCAACGTATGTCTGTCTGTGTATATATAGACTCATCACTCCTGTGATTCTGATTGTATATGTGTCATAAATATCACTTTTTTTTACGAAAATATTTCGTATTGAATAAAAATGTTTGGTTAATATCCAATTTTATTTTACTGTTTTAATGTTTGCCATTTATGATGATGGTATTTATCATAGAATACCATTTGTAATATATTCAAGAAAACTCATATATGCAGTGCTGGGTAGTAACTGATTACATGTAATCTGGATCAGATTCCAAAAATTGAGTACTCGTAACTGGATAATACAGTATTACAATGCTCAGCAGTATTACAGCAATGGTAGTGTTAAAACAAGTTAAGGTAATCTAAAAAATCTGTCAGAATACATTACCTAAAATGAGTAAAATTATGACGTATGCACTAACTACAATTTTCATCATGTAATCTGTAATCAGTAATGGACTACAATTTGTAAGTAATCTACCCAGCACCATATATCTGTTTATATTATTATTGTTGTGAACTAACGGCTCTGAACGATTCACTGAGTGGAGTCTGATTCAAACCGCTAACGTACGAGTTTGTTTAATGAATCTTTTGACTGAACCGTTTCATACGAATCGTTTTTCGTGAATGGCTTTCGCTGCATTCAGTAAACATAGCGCGAAATGTAACGAGATTATGTATGATAAAACGCACCTCATGATGATTAATGCGTATGAACCTATAAAATATACATAACTCTTAACAGTTTTCGATTTATTTTAATACTGACATGACTGAATAATAACTCGCTATTCAGTGAAGGAGTCGTGAATTCATTAAAAGTCCAGACCCGTCTGATTTGAAACAGCTAAATTACGAGCAAATTCAAGGCTGTTTCATGTAACCTTTTGCCTGAACCGTTTCATTTTGATATGGACATAACAGAAAAATAACTCGTGGTCCAGTGAGGGAGTCAGTAACGGGTTTGAACGATTCACTGACTGAATTGAGTTTGATTCAAACCGCTAATTTACGAGCGAGTTGAATCTTTTTGACTGAACCATTTCATATGGACATAACAGAAAATTAACGCCTGGGGCCAGTTGTTCAAAAGTAATCTGATCGGATTTTGGCCAT